GAAGCATAGGCAAGTGCATCTATGTGTGTTGTACGTTGGTGTTTTGTGGTGTTTGTTGGTGTGTTAGGCGTTAATGGATTTTGAGTGTGAATGTGTATTAGGCTGTGGAAATGTATATTATGGAGGACAGGAGTGTGTTTCACAGTGTTGGTATGTCTGGAAACTGTGGGAGTGTGGAGTTAGTGTGTTTGGGGGTGCTGTGTGTTAGGGGGATGGGGTAGATGGAGTGTTTCTTTACACAGATATTGAGTGTGTAATACACGTGAAGCACTTTGCTAGGTGCTGAAGCTGTAACAGTGAGCAAAATCAGGTACAGTCCTTACTCTCCTGGAATTTAAAGTTTAGTTGGTGAGGTAGGGTGGAGTGAGCAATGGAAGGGAGTGTTTTGGGTCCAGATGGTTACATGTGTGGGTACTTGTGAGGGCACATCTGATGGCAAGAGGATTTGAGTGTGTATTTATGGATGGGCATGTTGGGAGAGTGTATAGGAAGATTGTGGGTAGGTGTCTTGGCTTGGGGATGTGGGGGTTTTTGAGTGTGTCACAGGTTGTGGGAGAGTGTGTGTAAGGGTGTGATAGAGGTGTGTAAGCAGAACATTTCAAGTGAGGGTTCATAGGACCCTCATGGAGGGTAGAGGGTATGTGAAGGGTTGGAGGGTAGGGCTCTATGTGGTATGCACTGGGGGCATTCATTGCTGGGGAGCAGTAGTGTTTGAGCATGGCTGGAGCTGTTCAGAGCATCTCCTGTGACCTGAGGATATGCCAGTCATATCCTGGTATCACTGGGGGTGGGCTGTGGGTTCCCATCATTCCATCTGTCCCACTACTATGGCAGCACGGCTCTTGGGGGTGGGTATGGGTGAGAAGGACCTGGACAGGGTATTCTGAGTGAAAGCTGGCACGAAGGCTCCAGGGCTTCGGTCTACTTTTTTTCTCCTTGAGCAGGAGCTGGAGGGTGCCTGAGAAATGTAGGTGGGACAAGGGAGGGGATGGTTGGGCTGAGGACTCCATGGTCTGGCTGCCATCTCTTCCTGCTGCCCTATTCACAAAGCCGGTGCGGGGGAGGGTTTGACTCCTTCTGTGAACCAGAGCAAAGTCACTGCTGGCTACCTGGAGCCTGTAGGTTATCTGGCTCTGATGGAGGAGAGAGGGGAAGGTGTTTAGACTAGATTTTCTAAATGATCCCCATTCCCAGACTCTCTCACATACTCCTGTACATCCGTGTACACAGACATGTACACAGCATCCCTTGGGTATCCTTACCTCACTTACTAAACTCCATGGCGGTCTGGGTCCCCCAGAGATGGCTGGGTGGCTGGTTTCAGCAGCCTCTACCTGTAATGTGTGAAATCGGGAGCTTGGGTGGCAGGTGAGTGGGTGGATGGTCCTTGGAGTTGGCTGGGGCTGGACTTACCAGCTCCACCTCCTGCAGGCTCTGAAGCGGAAACCAGATTTGTTCCTGTGTGAACGATTGGATGTCAAAGCTGTGTTCCAGTGTGGTAAGTATTGCCAAGTGAACAAGTGGGCCTTGGGCTCCCAGGAAAATCCTTAGGCCCCATCTGATCTGCCTCTGCCTCTCCCACAGCTGTGCTGGCCCTCAAGTTCCCTGAGGCACCTACTGTCAAGGCCTCCTGTGGCTTCTTTGTGAGTCCCACACTGACCTCTGATCCCTGGCACCCAATGTCTTGCCCTGCCCAGGACTCCAGAGGGTAGGGGTGTGATGTGCAGCTCTTGTCCTCAGGGAGAGGTGGGAAGGAGCTGGGGCTGATGGGCATCTCCATCCTCTGCAGACAGAGCTGCTGCCTCGGTGTGGGGAAGTAGATTCTGTAGGAAAGGTGGTCCAGGAGGACGGTCGTATGCTACTCATAGCAGTGCTAGAGGTGAGATGGAGCAAGTAAGGTTTTGGTGAGGGTGGGGGAGCCTCACTTCTGAGGCATTTGGCTTTCTGGGAGGTTTGAACCTTAGTTCCCTAAGCTCTTGTATCCTATTTCTAACTCAATTAAATGGTGGCTTCTGGGTGTGCCCATGGTCCCAGCTACTCGGGAGGCTAAGGCAGGAGAATCACTTGAGCCCAGGAGTTGGAGGCTTTGGTGAGCTATGCTCATACCATTGCACTCCAGCTTGGGCAACAGAGCGAGACCCATCCTTAAAAAAAAAAAAAATGTTTTAAATGGCTGAAAGTTGTTAGGGTACTATGAGGATCTACTGGCTGTCAAAAAGCATCACTCACTGTGATGTGCAGTTTGGCTTAGGAACTATCCCAGAGGGCCTGAGGCATAGTTAGGCATCCTTGCTGAAGAAGGGGCAGGATCCTGATGTGCTGAGAACACCTATTCCTCAGGCCATTGGGGGCCAGGCTTCCCGTAGCCTCATGGACTGCTTTGCTGACATCCTGTTTGCACTGAACAAACATTGCTTCAGTCTCCTGAGCATGTGGATCAAAGAAGCACTTCAGCCACCTGGTTTCCCTTCTGCCCGCCTCAGCCCTGAACAGAAGGACAACTTCAGCCAACAGATCCTTCGGTGAGCAGAACTGGGGTGGGCCTGTCAGGATGGAGGAGTTGGTGATAGTGGGTGGTGCTAATCTGCTCTCCTGTTTCTCCTTCAGTGAGCGAGTGAACAAGAGGCGGGTGAAGGAGATGGTGAAGGAGTTCACACTACTGTGCCGGGGGCTGCATGGCACAGATTACACAGCTGACTACTGAAGGGCACCCTTGTGCCACCCACCCCTTCTCATCTCTCCCTATCCCCAAAGAGTAAACCTGGACCCTTATTGCTGCCTCTGCTTCCTTTCTACTGCCACCATCGCCTAACTGAAAGCCTAGTTCCATCAAGAAAGCCTTGGGGCAGGATGGGAGGATGCTTGGACCCAGGCCCTGGGAAAGAATGGTGGGAACACCATCTAGGGTGGAAGAGGTACTGCTATCTCCAGGCTACCTAGGCTGGAGCCATTTGGAATACTTCATTTCCCTTGGGGTGGAATGGGGCTGTAGTAGTGTCAACCCCCCATCCCCATTAAATTAGTCCCAATGTGCATGCATTTATTTGATTAACAGTTCTGAGTACTAGGCTCAGATCTCTGCCCTGAACAAAGGTTGATCTAGTCATAGCCACTATGCTAAATTGGGAGAATGGTAAGGATGTGAGGGAAAGCTGCAGAGAGGAAGTTTCTGATGGGAATAGCAGGCTTCCTGGGAGCAGGACTTGGGGCTTGGGCTGGGTCCAGTTGGGAGAGAAGCAGAATGGGGCTTTGATCTCCAAGATGGGTTTCTGGTGTGGGGTTATAGAGTACCCAAACTTGCACATGGTGAAGAGGGCAATAGAAAGGGACTGAGGAAGTAGGGAGAAAAGGTATCATAGCCCACAGAAGAGCAGCAAGGTGGGACCTAGTGTTGTCTGTGTACCCCTAGCACCCTGCTTTTATGGGACCTCCCATACAGGATAGTCAGGGATTGGTCAGGACCAGGGACAGTTCCTGAACTGCTCTCGCAGTTCCTTCCTTACCAGGGTTGCCCCCCTGTCTATCTCTTTAGCCAGTTTCACCTGAACTACTTCTCAGGTGTCTCAGCCTTCTCAGTAAAATCTGAAAAGTGGTACTGACTTTCCTTATCCATGAGCTTTGAGTCTCTTTGGAGGTGATGGGGGAATTACTCCCACATCCATCCCACTTTCCCCGGTCTTTGCACAAGTTCCACATTTTCCATTCTTCCTCATTCAACCTCTTCCAACACCGGCCAGCGTCAGCCCCCTTCTGCCATCTGCTGTCCCCTGAAACCACTCTGTTCTTCCCTCTCCAGTCCCATTCTCATCTTACTCTATAGAGTTCTCACTTCTGGGGTGTGTGGAGATGTTTCACGTACTTTTAGTCTTTTTTCCTACTACATGGTATCTAGGTGTCTTCTTTCCCCCACCCAACCCCATGAGCAAATAATGTAGCATACAAAAGGCAGGAGAATTAATGGTCTAAGGCCTAAGTGCTGAAATCAACAGAACTGGATTTGATGCTTATTGTGCCCCTGCTTGTTGCATTTTATTCCACAAGTAGTCTCTCCAAACCTCAGTTTCCTTGTCTGTAAAATGGGATAATTTTTACTCCAAAGACTAAACTTTAAGAATGTAGTGCCCGGCTCGGCGCCTATAGCTCAACCAGCTAAGGCGCCAGCCACGTACACCTAAGGTGGCGGGTTCGAATCCCCAGCCC